TAACTTTAATTATATTATATTGAATTATATTAAAGATAAGGTAAGATAAGGTACAAGTGTTAAAGTGTTTAAAGGCTCTTTGATAATCACTTCTGGATAATACTGTTTAAATAAAAAAGATATTGGTTGGTGTACCTCTCGATGGTGTTGTCGAGCTTCCCTTCGCGGTTATCTTCAAAATAACCGCTCCCCTTCTTCTTCGTTAGGCTCAAGCTTAATAGAGATATTTTCTCTGATACGAGACTTAATCGACAACTACTGTCTCTCGCACTTATAAATTGCCACTTCCTATTAGAAAATTTAAAAATATAAAATTTGTCTCCTTAAATATTTTGTATAATATTTCAGCTAATGAAAGATTTGCTTCTATTTTGCAAAATTTCTTTTCCTTGGAGTTTAAAGATACCTATCATATCATATATCGATATTGAAGAAAAAAATACTTATATTTAAGGATAATTGATGGTAATGCATACTTCTCCTTCGTTATTGATCAGAGTTATAGTTATGTTATCTGCTGCCATAATGGAGTTGGGTGATAGCATCGTTGCCAAATACTGTATCCTTACAGAAACTGCTAAAGGATGAATTACTCCGAGCTCACAATTTAACTCGAAATCTTTTCGAAAAGCACCAATTTTGAAATTAATCCGCCAGCCGCTCAAACTTATTTCCTGTTGCAGAAATTATGTTTGATTTGTAGATGAACTATGCATTACCTGTAACTCAAGTAAAGCCAAAAAGCGCGCCACGAGAATTTGTCCAAGGCTTTCAGTCTTACCTTATTGCTCTTATTGTTAATACTGAATCTTATAAATCGTGGAAGTTCTTGAAGAGTCACATTTGTAATTTCTCCGTCACCTCTAGCAATGTGAACTGCAACGCTGTAATCACTACTGCTGCACTCTTCATTTATTTCCAATAAAGGGCGTTTTCGTTTGCCGCTTCTGAGAAAGGTATGTCTGGACTGAGTTGGTCTATCAGTTAAAGATCTAGTCGATTGTATAGGCGTATCGATTTTATACGTGTTCAATCTGGGAATTAAAGCAAGAATGAATTAATGTCTAATATTTGCATTGAAGTAACACGTGGAAGTAATCCATAGCAGATTCTGGATTCGATCTCATCCATCCCACATATGCCTTTTAAGAGTGTAACAGTGAAGAATTGAGAACTCAACAAAAATTATATATTTATGGTTAAACAAACGGAATCGCAATGAAAGGAGCAGTTTAAGAGATTACAATATATTGGCTTACCTGGCCTCGTACAACGAACGATATACAGCGACTTTCATATTAGCCATCTTTAATTTAAGATTCATGGTAGCCGGATCCATTTGGTTTGAATCCATATGTGCTAATCCCGCTTCCAAATTATCCGAGCCATCCTTATGACGAGCACGTTCGTTTTCTCGTAATTTTTCTTGCAAATCTCTGTCGAAAGACACATTTATGTTATTAGCCTACTTAACTATCTATAAAAATTTATAAGTGTTTTATATTCATTTCTGAATAAACAACATTAATCAGATCAATATATGTGTCAATTATAAATTATAAAAAATTTTTCTCGTAGGATCATTAAATCGGTTTCTTTTTTTATATGTTATCTACTCTTCTTGCTTATTCCAAAATAAAATATGGTGTACTTATGTTAGAAAAATAATATTTAACTATTAACACATAAAAGAGAAAACTTCATTTTATAAATGAGAAAATTTTGTAAAAAGAATTACCTGATTCGTGCATTATTGGCCGCTTCGAGTTCGCTGAATGTTGACTCGAGCTCTTCAATTTTAGACCATTCCTGCCTTGATTCTTCGATCATGCTGGCAACTTCACTATTATATTGAGATTCCAAGATCACACTCGCACACCTCGCAGCTAAATGAATACTGCCGGTCAGAAATGCCAGATTGCAGCCGCAATAGTATGCTTACAGTCTGTGGAGGGGATAGGCTAGTAAGTGCCGGTCTATAATAGGTGTTTTAAGCCCTAAGCCTTAAGAAATTGACTAATCACAGTCGAGTATTCTCCTCATACTTGATTGTGATTGGTCAATTTCTTAGGTCTTAGGGCTTAAATCACCTATTGTAGACCGGCACTGACGCATACTAAAGCATAAGTCCTCGTCCGTGCGCGCTCGATGCTCGGCTTTAGTGTGTGTTGCCAGCCTATCCCCTCTAGACTATAAGCATGCTATTGCGGCTGCAATCTGGCATGTCTGCTGCTGCTGATCATGATCAGCGCAGCCAACGGTCTAAAAACTATGGCACATAGAAAAACGTAAGCAGTAAGACGTAAGCAATAAGCAAATAGACCAATCATAGTCAAATTAATTAGCCATTTTGAAACTTAAGACTTAAGACGTAATGTTGAAAAATTCCGTAAAGATGAAATTTTTACGTCTTAAGGCTTACGGCTAATCAATCACAAGCGACTGTCCGATTCAATCTTCAAGATGTACACTAGCGCACACGTGATACGGTTACATTTTAATGTTTTGCGTTACATTTTAGTTTTATAGAACATTTTAATTATCAATACCAAAGAAGAAATAAATGAACATGAATATTTTACATGAATGTTTTACTTCTTAAGTTTATACCACAGATTTAGCTGAAGAAGATAATTAGTTTGAGATTCCTGAATTCAAGTCTTATTACAATCTTACACATAGATAATATCCACATATTATAATATTGACTTGCGATTGTTCCTAGTGACGATCGCTCTTATATTTGTTTACGCTGTTTTTTTCCGTTATGTCTAAGGAAAATCTAGTTCTTATTATTGTCTTTTTCACTTTCATTTTATTTAAAAATATTAATATAAAAAATATAACTACAGTATCTCTCTTAGTCTGACTCTTCCGCTTCGACATGTCCGGCATGGGTGACTCTACCGGTAACTTATTAGCGTTTTTGAATGAAGCAAGTTTAATCGCTTTGAGAGCGATTAAACTCAATCTACGATAAATATATGTTTAATCAAAAGTAGAGAGTTTTGAGAGAATCTGATTAATATAAATAATATAAAACATATTCTCCATTTTTTATTTACGCTATTTTTGTCTTTGAAGTGCAAGATTCTTTGCCCTGATTAATCAATCAAAGACTTACTCGAAGTATTCATTGATTAATTTAATAACCCAAGTATTCTTAAAATACAAGACAGAGTTTATAAGTTTAATTCATTAATCAATTTTAGAGCGATCATAATTTATTACATGGCATTACACGAAAATGTCCAAAATATGCGTATAATGAAAAAAATTTCTAGAAATTGTTAGACTAGACAAGGTTTTTTAGCGACGATTAATTACGCGATATTTATTATTAATAATCGACATACAATTATAAAGCTTAATAAGTTTTATATAATGTAAAAATTTGCGACTAAAAGAGTCATTAATAAAATTATCAATTGTCTTTAATTGTAGAAGAAAGTATTTATACTATTGGCGCATTTTGCGCAGACTTCAAAGGAAATATTCAAAATGCAAAGATATAGACAAAGCTTCGATGGAAATCAACGATTAAATTATAAAATAAATCGTGATTTAAAATTCACGAGCAAACGCGACAAATAAATAAATCGTCGTATTCATAATATTCGATTGTGATACGCGTAATTTCTATTATAATCGAAACCCACACACACGTACGCGCGCGCTATGTTATCACTATCATTTTTATATACAAAGATATTTCGATAGACATTCGAGATCTGTAATATAGCATCCACCGTCCGATTTATTATCGAATATCTCATTTTATACGAATGTCACGATCAACAATAAGATATATATTTTATCTCGCGGATGACTGTTTTAACAGGATAAAATGGGTCTTATAAACCTTAAAATATCGTTATAAAAAATCGCGTTAGTACCACGTTTTATAGAAAATAACAGACCCAACGATTTTAATAAGGCCCTCCCTCCGCCGGGTGATACGCCGGTTAATATTCGACAAAAAGAGAAACGATCCTAAAGGTGGAGAACGACCAACGTCTTGTTTCTACATCAGTTTCTGCAAGATCGATCCGCAAAGAAAAGTTAAGTGATCCGTTGAACGTTAGAGCCGCTGCAGGAGGGAACGAATCCCGAATCTTCCGGATTACCCCCAATAGCAATGATTTCGGTAATGAATCAACGACAGTTTAACCATTTATCTTCATTTCACGAGATTGAAAATTGCGCGAGAAAACATGTTCTTCCATTATTAAGAAATATATCTCTTTATTGAAAAATAAATGGACATAACGATTTTTATAAAAATGTGGTTACAAACGACTATATTTATGAATAATAAAATACATGTATCGTTATTATAGCTAATGTTAAATGTGCGAGTACAAATAATTCTTGGGTACCAACTGTTCGAGACGAATCAAACCCGATAACAGCAAAATTTAAAATTCAAATACTTTGCAAGATAAAATAAAT